AGAGCTTTAGCTAAATTGTTTTATTGTTGTGCAGAGAGAGAGAGAGAGAGAGAGAGAGAGAGAGAGAGAGAGAGAGAGAGAGAGGTGCTCATTCCCAACATCCCAATAATAGCTCCTGGCAGCCCACGAGGCGTTTGCGTAAACGCACCGGTTTTAATGAGTGCGTAATAACGCAGCGCGTCCGAAGGGTTAACTGACACGCCGGGCTTTTCTATCGGGAGGCGGGACGCGCGTGGGTTTTGTCGGTGCGCTATGCGTCTTTGGATAGTCAGATGTGTGTGTGCGCGTGAAGCGCAGGCCGCCCACTCCAAACGCACGAGCAGCAGCAGCATCTGCAAAAAAACACCGGCAACATTTTTTTTTTGTTATAAAAAAAATTAAATAATAATAATAAAAAAAAAGAGCGTCCACATGTTGGAGTGGCTGATGAGTAACACGAGGTAGAGCTCGGTTCGTGGCAGCGGAGGTCCAGTGGGCGCGCTCGTGCGTGCCAGTCTGCGCGCACCTAGGGCCATCATCATCATCGTCATTGTGCTCATCGGTTTTTAGTGGGCGGAAGACCCTAAAGCACACAGCTGAAGACCCCCATCCACTTTACAGCGACACTATARAGGCACTTGACCTTTGACCTGCTGCCTTGGCAAATAGATTAATTAAAGAATCTTTAAGGGATGCATATCACCATGAGTTTTAATCAATCTCGTTCTAAACAATGAGAGTTAAAGCTAAAAACACATCAAACTTTAGTGCAAAATCTGTAAAATGGTCTAACTTATAGTAATTTTTGGGGTTTGGTGAGATTGCATTGCTGTGGCGGCCATAGGTCAATCAGATGTTGAAGTCARCCCAGGCAGGGAGTACTTTCTGTTTCATCAAAACCCATTCAGTGATTCATGAGACATTTTGCTAACAACACAATCCAACAAACACACACGGGCAAAAACATCCGTGTGATTCTGGCGACAGGCTTTAATGAAACGGAGCTGAAATATGCAGCGATACCTGGACATGTGTCTCTGCTGTCACACAGATGCTTTCAGACAGCATCGAATTGGCACTCGTCAGACCTGACAGGAAAAAAAAACATTTATCATGAGAGAGGAAAGGGAAATTGACCAAGTGGACAGAGTTGTCTTCCAGCTGAAGACCCGCAAACTGCAGCGACTCTGCTCTTTAAATCAAATTATCTGWTACATGTTAACAAGGCAAATTACATTAAAAGCTTTTCATCAACCGAGTCATGGAACGATACGGTTTTGATACAATTACTTTTGTCCTCACTCAACGATTGCTCCATCTATCTTTTACAGACGCAAATGACTTTGTRCACTTGGGATAAAGATAGAAAAACCTTCAAAGGAAGCTGAAATAGGTTGACRTTGATAATAAAAAGAAAACAAATGACTGAAAATCAACTAATGAAAATTAGTCATCGCTTTTGAACTGCGGTTCGTCAGAMTTATTTTTATAAACAAACTAGGAAAAGTGGCCTTGACTAGACGGAGGGTAATATTTTTTTGCAGAACCTTTTGAGATGATCTACCTCTCTGTAAGACGCTCCATATGTCTCAGGTCTGAAGGGTTCCTTCTCCAGRCTGCAGGTTTCAGCTCCAGATGTTCAACAAGATTTGGATCAGGGCTCAAAAGCCCGCTTTAGAACAGTCCAAAGTTTGGTTTAAGCCCTTCTTGGGGTGTTTTCAGTTGAGTGTTTTGGATCATTATTCTGTTGGAGGACCCATGAGCTGCAGCTGAGACCAAGCTGTGGGACACCTGCAGCACATTTTTAAGCTGCGTCCAGGGAGGCTAGCTGCAGGACTTCATACAGCTGAACAATCTGTGCAGCTTAGAGATGACCTTTTAGGCTTTACCTTTAACATGCTTATCAGTATTATTCTTTCTAAAGTTCTGAGACAATTCTCTTTGGTTTTCTGTGGTAAACACCCTGATTCTAGTTAGTAACCCCCAAAAATGAACTGACTGATTACAAGAAGACAACTGCAACACCGTGCCCATGAAATCAAAGGTGTAACATCTTCTTTTTAGAGCTATAGTTTCATAAATTTGTTTTTTAAGTAATTCTACTGAACCACAATCCAAAAACAATGATTTTTATTAGTTAGTTTTCTTCATTATTATTTTAATTTATTTTTACTTTGTTCATTTTCTTTATTTAACAAAATGTCAAAAAGCAAATTCATGAGTTTACACACGCAAATGCAACCTGGAGGCTTTATTTTCTCCCCAATCCGCTTCGTTTCAGTGCAGTAAATCAGGTATATTTTTAACACTGAAGACTGTACAGTTTGTTCAGTCTGGGTTTCTACAGTTTCTGTGACTCATTTTTTTGTCCATCCCGTCCCAGCGAAAGWTCATCCCCGAGAAACGCTGAGACTTTATGGCAGTTTTTCTGTAATCCCAAACCAAATCTTGCAAATGAAATCAGTGGTTTACGTGTTACACACTTTTTTCCCCCCTCCAAGAGACTGATGGAGCCAAAATGCGCTTCTACTGCAATACAACAACACATATCCCTGAGAAAGTGGTGGCTTCTAAAGAAACAGTGAGGCCTCGTTAACCGTTTTCATTATATTTTTGTGTTTGTTTGTTTTATGAATGGCACAGACGGCCGTCACGGTACGGCTCCTGAGAGCAAGGGCCAACTCCGGCTGACAGGAGGGAAGGTAGATTTGTATTTCAGAACCCAGGACCGGCGCTGAGCCAGTTCAATCTTTAGAGCGTTGGGACCAACTCTGCCTGCCCTTCCCCTTCTGTGGGCGGCAGGAGAGAGAAATAATTTGATTCCAACAAGCTCAGTTCTGTGGGCACATCAAACTGCGTGTGTGTGTGTGTGTGTGTGTGTGTGTGTGTGTGTGTGTGTGTGTGTGTGTGTGTGTGTGCAGCTCAGCACATCCATCAGGTGATGTGTGTGTGATCTGTGGGTGTTTGCCATACACATCGGTCAGGTGGTGAAAAGCAGGTTGCACAGCATGTGTGTGTGCTGGCATGTGTGCACAGGTTAGTCCGTGACCTGCAGCCCATATGGTTCACAGTTAAACTTACTTCATGTCTTTTCATATCAATGGGAAGCCAAAGGGATTTTCTTTCTGCTATTATTTTCTTCCTTCTCACGTATCACGGCGACGGTGAATTCTGCTTCTTCGCTTATTTCTGGGTGAGGAAGGCTTGGAGGAAATGCCTCTTCTCTGCTCATTTTTTGTTTGTTTTGTTTTGTTTTTGTTCTACCAGGCTTTCTGAACATCAGGATGTTGAGGCAGCAGATTCGGGTATTAGCTCGACGCTAACTCTCATTGAATCAGATCCATGGAACGCAGCTGAAGAAATTTATTGGAGTATGTTCACTACTGACTTTTAAAAAAAGCACTACACATTTTATAGTTTTTCCTCAGGTGAACCATGATATAGTTTTATAAAACACTGTGTGTATTTCTGTGATCAAACTGGTGATTTTATGTACAGACTGGTCTGAGTGGTTGTCAAAGATGGTTACACAGAGCAGGAGGTACATATGGATAAGAAGCTTGCCTGAAAATGCTTTCAACACTTGAACCTTTGTTTTAACATTAGAACAGGAAACTTGTACGAGGACCAGACTCCAGCCACGGCCCTTTTTGATGATGCAATGACAGTAGGCGGAGTCAGGGCCCGAAGAATGTCAGAAAAGCAGGGGCAGTTCTAGGGGCACGGCCACAGGGGCATTGGCCCCATCTGAAATCCACCCGCTTCGGATGTCGTCATCCATTAAATGGACGTTATTAGTCGTTAGCAGGCCCATAGAATGGCTTCAGAATGTCCCGACTGTGGCTCCTGGTGGGTTCTCCGTCCCATAGAATGGACTGATAACGTCAGAACCGGCGGTTTGTGATGTTATCAGTCCATGAAATGGACGTTATTAGTGGTTATCAGTCCCATAGAATGGCTTCAGTCTGTCCCGACAGTGCCCCCTAGTGGGTTAATATATCAATGACATTGAATGTGTAAATAACCAAAACATATTTTTAATTAATTTTTTGTCCGGGGTGGGGGGTATGGTTTTCTCGTTGTCTGTGCCTGGTCTCAATTCTGGCTTTCCTGCTCTCTGGTCTGGTGCTCTGCCCATTGCCCTACATTGGGCCTGCGACAATGGTCKGCTTTATCGAAGGCCGTAACCATTTTCTCTAAAATTAGCCTTACTGGCTTTATGCCTCATATTAACCAGAGTGCATAAAAAAACTTAGTGGCTTTATGCCTCATACTAACTCTGACTGGAACCCCTGAAGTGCCCCGTCCTTTCACTCATCTGTCCTTGCCCAAGAAAAATGATGGTGTCTGCAGTTCCACTTTCAACCACTAGTGGCGTCAGTGAGTCAAATAAAGTCCACCATGAAGCAAGCTTACAGAAGTCTTTTTCAACATGAACAATCCTGCAGAAAAATAAGTTTTTTTTTAATGAAAATGATGGCTAGATTTTGTGTGTTTGAGAGTATTTTATTTATTTATGTAAAGTAAAAAAATCATGTAAAATTGATAAGGAGAATTTACTGTGCAAGCTTTAGTGTTTGAACACGGGTGACTGATTAAATGTATAAACCTTACAAAAACTGGGGATTTGTGTGGAAGGATGTTGAACAAATACATGGCCCCTCTATGAATATTGTGGCCCCTTGATGGCCCCTTACACTGAAAAATCCTAGATCCGYCACTGGTTTCCTGAATCAAGGCTGAATGCACGGAGAGAGAATAAAATGTGGTTCAGACCAGCGCTGTGGTGTATCGTATGAACTCTTTTCACATTCAAACATTCAAATWTTGGTGTATTTTCTATCTGGTTACGAACACGTATTRAGGTAAATGAACACGCCTAATTTCCTACTTCCTCTCAGTTAAATTCACATTTTTTAAAAACTCTCTGAACGTACTTATTTCTGCACAAACAGTGTGGAAATCTGGGCTTTATG